TCTCAGCTTCCAGAGAAAACGAGGGGAGAAAAAAATAAAGCAATATTTTTTCAAAAGACTTAGCGTGGGGCTTTTTTTTGTCTCTCTGCAGTGCTGCGCTCCATTAACTCTCTCTCACGAGCACTTTTTTCATTCTGTCAGTTTCACACAGTTTGATTTAGTTTTGAGTTAGCTGTGGTTGCTGTTTTGGAAGGAGACAATCTACTTCCTGCCTTCCTTCATTGCTTCCCTTTTTCCTTCTTCCCTCCATCCTTCCTACTCCACCTGTTCCCTTCCCCCTAACACAGTCCTCCTTCTCTCTGTCCATCTTTTCCCCACCTCTCCCTCTTCTGTCCCTCCATCCCTATGCATGTTCTCATCTGCTCTTTAATCTCTATTTCGTGCCTCTACATAATAAGCTTGTCGTCTCTTCTGGAGATGAGGTGTCTCTCTCTCACACACATAGACACACACACACACACACACACACACACACACACACACTGTTTAAACAGGTAGGCAGGATAATACACACCGCGGACACTTCTGCTTAGCTCTCTCTCACACACAAAATGTACCCTCTGTTATACACACTCAGCCTTTTCCGCTTGCTCAATCACACACACACACACACACACACACACACACACGGTGCAGAGCTGAGGGTGTGAACCCCAGGTAGCTATAATGAAAACTCGGGCGGATGGAGGGGTGGGGGGGGTTTAGGACACGCTTTTTAATCACTGACCCGAGACGATCCATACAGACGGTATGATCCTGCAATGAAGTTTTCCCTCTTTGGAGAGTGTGACACCTGACAGAATTGATTGCAGGGAGGAAATTAAAAGTGGCGCCGTGAAGATTATTGAGGTTCTTCTGAGCGTCTGTCTGGAGGCAGCTGCTTCTGAAGGAGCAGCACTTTAGAGGACATTATCATCCGTGGGTTTATTTAATGTTAATCAAAGGGCGTCAAGCTAATGTATTTTCTGAAGTGGCATTTCATATCGACACGAGGTCGGGAAAGAAAATAACCCTCATATGGGGTGACAATGTGCATAATAAAAAGTTATTGTATTTGGAGATTATAGAACCAGGGGAGGGTGGGGATGACTGTGCGAGCCTGACATGTCTGTGCGGCTCCACTATTCTGACCTTTTTTCCTTATAACCCCAAATACGAAGCCTCATCTACGTGTGACTCCTTGTCACCAAATGCAAGTCCATAAATCAAAGATTGATTTTCCTTTGAAGAGTGTTTAGAGGCCTGAAGACATTAAACTATTCAGTACTTCACAAGAAAAGCACAAAGTTCATTTTAAGATCATTATTTCATCCAGCGTATTGTTTTTACATTATAGCCTAACCCCAGAATCATCTTAACACACAAATCCCATGTTGGGAACCATTGAGGTGAACGAGATGAGCAGGACCAGCATGAACCTCCAACATGGAGGTAATAAATCAAGAGAGAAGTACAGTCATTTTCTCATAGACTTCTATACAATCGGACTTCTTTTTGCAACCTTAGGAGTCGCCCCCTGCTGGTCAGTAGAGAGAATGGACACTTCCGCATCGACTTCACTCGGGAGAACCGGAGGTTGGTGTCTGGGCATCTGTTAATTTCTGTTAAATTAATTGACCCGTTTATTCGTCAAACCGACCGTGTGAAAAGGCCTTTAGTTGTGAGAGGGTGAAAATCCATTACATTTGGGATTGATTAACCTTAAACAACAAACATTGGCTAATGTGAGGCATCCATTAGTTTGCTTATTGTAAAGATATTACAAAGTTTAAAAAAGATCATTCAATTAACACCCATATGATGAGAACAAGGCATAACTTAACAACAACTTGAACATTAGTGTGTTGTTTTGGTCTGTTTGGTTTTAGTTTCCCAGTCAGCACTTGCTTGATGTCCATCTCTCCAGACAAGCCAACCTCAACGATCCCCTGAGAAGAGTTTGAGAGCAACTGAACTCAAAGTTTGAAAAGGAGGTCAGCTACAGACTGGCAGACATCCGGAGCAGCACTGGAGGACCGTCCTCAGCTCACAGTATCACAACTTTCAAAGTATTATAGACTCTGCAGGAGTCAGAGAGACAGAAATAGACTCAATTCAGCATTCGGCTTTGTCAGCGGATTCCAAGACCTAAAACCGGTTGTTTCTCCCTGACTGCTGCAGAGCATTGAGAGAAAATGTAACTTCACCTAGCAGAGGGATCCAGGCTCAAAACATGAGTAGTGACATTTCAAAATAAATTTCTCTACAAGAACTTTTAGGTTTAACACAAAACCACTTTGTTAGATTTAAGGAAAGGAGTGTGGTTAACGTCTTCCTGGCGGACTAATGACACGCGTGACCAGCGAATGACTAGAGTCCCGTGACGAGCGACTCGCGACACTTAACCGCTGATGTCACAAAATGTCGACGTTGAATTTTTGTTTCACACGAGGCACCAACCCTCCCTTACGCCCTGCTTGGACTATCTCGTACTTTATGCTCCATCAGCTGCACATCAACTGACATCAAAAATGTTGACGTCAGTTGATGTTGAACCTCCATGAAAGCAAGCACACCTACCAAAGGCGCTGTGTTACTGTGGTTGGCATTGCCTCCCTTACACTACTAGTTACTGGTACTGATGTACAATGATGAGTTCAACTCCTACTGTTTAGCTTTATCATTTGGCTCATTCCATAAAAGCTCAAGATAAGATTAAATTGAATTCTGGCTAAAGAATGTGCCAGACTGTATTAGTATATTTGGATTGTGATTGCTCTCTTTATGCGTCGGTGTTATACTTACCCATATCTAATGGCTGATCAAATGTACATGTACGGTTCTGTAACAGGCAGAAAGGTACAGAAAGACTGACTTTCAACCTAAAATAAAGATGACTTATCTATTCCTTTTGAGATTATTTTTCTCATTCATCTATTTTAGTGGATCCTCATAAGGAGAGAAACGTACAAAAAAGCACCCACCCACCCACCCACTGCTCACACACACACGCACACACACACACACACACACACACACACGCACACACACATGACCACAAACACACACACATGACCACAAACACACACACATGAGCACAAACACACACACATGAGCACAAACACACACACATGAGCACAAACACATAGGTTCCACAAACTTGGCTTTCTTTCATTAATTCACTCACAGGGTTTTAAAGAGACGATGTTCTGATGCCAGGAGGGTGTTGAAAGTTTCATAAGATACATACAGAGGGTGTGTACTCTACATGAACTGATTATGAAACAGTCTCACAAAGTGGGCGTGTGAATTAATCACAGCAATTCAACTTCAAATGACTTAAACCTGTGCACACACACACACACACACACACACACGCACACACAACCAGAGAGAGCTGTGAATGGACTCATAGATCTAGTGTTGCATTCAAGTGAGTTCTATATTCCGACCGTGGAAACTTCCATTGGAAACTATTGTAAAGAGGTAAACTGAAGGAGCAGCTAAGTTACAGCTCATTCTCACCTCATGATGTGTGTATTTAAGCATCAATGGATTCTGTTGTGCTTTGCACCGTCTGCATGCAGCACTTACTGCTGCCACCACATCTATGGATACATATTACAGCTACAATAAGGTGTTTGCTGTTGTGTAAATATTAACATACAAATAAATGTCAACAACAACCAATAGATTTTTTCAAAAGAGGAAAAGAAGAGTAAAAATGTGTCTGAATCATTTGAACATTTTTTCATATTTTCCTTCAGAAAGTCGAACATGAAAAGCAACATTATAATGAGTTGGTTTTTCATTTCATTTCATGGTTTGTGTGAAGCCCAAATAAGTCATTAATCTTTGTTTTTTCCACCATTTCCTCCTAATTGTACAAATAGAGCGTTTATGATCATTCCAGTTCATGCCTCCCACACGCGCACACACACACACGCACACACACACACACACACACACTTTACACAGATGCAGAGACGTATCCTTTGATGTAGAGATTTATGAACGTCAGGAACGCCGCGTTTGGAACACAGACGCACATTAAACAACTGAAGTAAAGCAAAAGTATTAAAAATCTATTTGTTAAAGTTTACACAAAACTCAAGAGATGATTATTCAAGGCTGCAGTCCTTAAACACACTTTGTGTCTGGAATTGTGCCAGGTCCCAAATCTAAGATAATAAAAGTATTTTTTTTAACACAGAATATTGCTTTATGTGTTTGGGTTCCTGGTGTTTGCAAACTTCTCTGTGACGAAACGTTTTTTAAAAAGGCAGTCACAAGTGATTTTTGTGGAATTCAGCCGATGTCAATGGGGCACCTTCTGAATAACTTAGAATGGTAACTCCTCATATCTCTGATTGCATATTCACTTTGCATTTGGTGCAACACCCAGGGAGCCAGGCTCATCAAAACAGCCTTGTGTCATGTTGGCAAACCACAAGAAACAGGCTCATGACCCATTTTATTTTCGGGGGGGGGTTGGACTTTGCTCTAAATTCACTCAAACTTTTCCATTCCTTGCTTCCTGGATGGTGGATTGACTGACTGGATGGTTTCACACAGTGACAGCTCATCTGGCCAAGTGAGAACAATTCTTTACACACCGGGGGCTTTGTTTTTGTGCGATTAATTCGCATGTCAATATATTTTTTCAAACTGTTGTTTTTGTCACGAATACTTTCACACAAAAAGGGATTATCACTTGGCCAAAAAGCAACATGTTTCTTTCCAGAACAAGGGCCATTTTTCTGAGCTTTTGCACTTGAAAAAGTAACGTTTCAACCAGTCACGTTGTGCAGAACACATCGAGTTGAACCTTCATTCATGAAACAACACGGAGGCTCCGTGGTCTGACTGTATCACTCCTTTCAACCTTGACGAAGGCGGCGCAGACCAGATCCACACCTTCAGTTTTGACCTTTCAAAATA